ACATATGTATATATACTACATATTTTGTTTATCCAATTACATAAATTAAGTATATATTTTATAAAATATTAAAGTAAATATAATTAGGATTGGAGTGTTTTATTACAAAAAAAAAGGCAAGTTTTCTTTTATTTTTGCGAGAAACTTAAATTTAAAATTTAATTTATTATAAATTAGTGTTATCATTTTTGTTTTATTATTTATTTTATTTTATATTTTAAATTTTTTTACTAATATTTTTCTGTTTTAGATTTTGTGAATTTATTTTATGTTTTTATTTTGTGTTCATTTGCATTTTTGTTAAATAAAAATTAAAAAAATTAAATATTTAGTTCGGTTTTTTTTTTTTTTTGTTTTTAGCTTTCTATTTGCAGAGGAGCAACTCTTATATGAAATTTGCTTGTATTTATGAATATTGTTGGTTTACTTGTTTATGAAACTCATTTGTTTGCGAGAGATTTACCAAAAACACACAATTATTGGTTTTTAAATATATAAAGTAGGTGTAAAAGAAATATACTTATACTTATGTATCTTGTTTTACTTTTTTTTTTTGATTATTTTTATATTTATTTTCCATTTTTTTTTTATACTAAAATTTTATTTATTTAGCTATATGTTTTTTTTTTTCTTTACTACTTTAAATACAAAATATGATATGACAATAACAAAGAATTAATTTTATTTTGCTTATATATACATATATATATATATATTGTGTTTTTATATATATTTACATATATATATGACTTAAATATTATTTTAATTACATTTTATAAGATTATGCACTTTATTATTTTTATTGAATAAATACGGATTTCCAAGATAAATTTTTTGAGGTGTAGATTAAAAATTATTTAATTTTATTTTTTTGTTTTCTCTTCTTTATATATATATATAAGAAAAAAAAATTATTTAAATTATATATGTATGAAAATATAATTATATATGTATTTTAAATGTTTATAAAGCAATTATATAACAAATTTATTGAAATGTATGATTTTGCAGTTTAAAAAAAAAAATTCCTTTTTGCTTTACTAAACAAAAGAGAATGAACTGAAACAAATAACAAAAGTAAAGGGAAAAATTTAGAAAATTTATTTATTTCTCGGTTTCGGAAAGTCGATCTCGATTTATTCAAACAATAATTGATCATATCATTGACAATATACAATACATCAAAAATTTAAAAGTTTTTAAATTGTGTTTAAAAACAACATATCTTAGCAATTATGCGCTTTGAAATTAGAACTAAATTGTTGAATGAATAATATCAAAAAATGTAATGAAAGATTTTATTGTAATAAAATTCGATGCAATGCAATACGAGACTAAAAAAACTTACTTAAAACAAACTTTAAAATTGAAAAGCATTAGCTGAATTTACAAACACTTATTGAAAATTGCAGAAAACATTGCATATTTTTTAAGTCAATGCAATAAAATATGAGATCCGGGTACGATCTTTCCCTTTTATTTTTTTTTTGGTAAAACAAAAATTTAAATTAAATTAATTTTAAAATTGAAATATAATTAAAAAAAAAAAAAACCAAACAAGTTAATTAAAATTATTAAATTATGTATATGGTATTGTACGAAAGATAGAAGCAAGTTTGTTTGTTTTATATTTCACATTAATTTTCAACTCTTTCCTCTAAATTTTTAATTATAAATTAATTCAATTATTTTTATACTAAAAATGCATACATATATATTTATGTAAATATATATATACATACAAATTTGTATTGTTATGTGTTTTTTTTTTTTTTGTTTAAGTTTTTTTTTTCTGCAAAAATTTTGTTTATTTAATATTTAGTATTTTATTTTTTATTTATAATTAATTCTTATAAAATAGAAAAACTGCAAATACCTGTACAAAATACAAAGGCAAAAATTTAAATATTTTCAACAAATTACACTTTTTATTTTTTGTCCTTAATTTATTTTTAATTACACTTATTTATTTATTTTTATTTTGTTTTATTTTAACACATTTAAGTTTTTTTTTTTATAGAGGGGAGGAAATTGTAAAATCACATTTCGTTTTTCTTGTTTATATATGTATTGATATTTATATATTATATTTTTATATATATATATTATATTAAATTATTTAAAATAATTTTTAAATTCTGACTTATTTGACACATTTACAAATTTTAATATAATATGTATGTATATATTTTTTTCTCTTTAATATTATTTTTTTTTTGAAATTTTTTTTTTTGTTTTACTAGATAGTAATTTGAAATTATTGCTTTTATTGTAAAATATTGTTTTTATTTTTTTATAGATATTTTTTATATTATTTTTAATGTTTTTTTTTTGTTCTTGTATTACATGTTCGGTTGATATTATATTAAACATTCGTTGAAAAATTGATTAATATTCCTTTTATGAATATTAAAATATAGTGCTATAATTGATTTTATTGCCATTATTATTTTATTATAGAACATAATATTATAATACTTATAACACTAATGTGAGCGTAATATTTTATTAAAATTTAAAAATAAAAAAATTAATATAAAAGTTTTCTTACAATATTATAATTGAAAAAATTTGTTATACGAACAATAAGTATGAAATATTTAAAAAAAAAATATAATATTAACTTCTTTCCAAAGTAAAAAATTGTTTAAAAAATAATATTCAGAAATAGAGTTTTAGGACAACAAAAAAAAATTTAACAATATGACCAATTTTATTCGTTAAAATAAAATTGTTAAATAAAGGCAAAGTAAATAATGAAAAATATTTTATATAATCAAAGAAAAGCAAAGTTAAATTATGTAATTAAATTTTTACAAGTTTATAAATTTTTGAATAATAATACAACCTTATTGATTAGGAACAATATCATTAATGAATTAGATTAATTATAAATAAGTATGCGTAATTATTAAATTGTGATTTCATTAAAAAGAAAGCCAGATTTTGATCACAATGATTTTCTATTAATAATGAATTAATATATATATATATATATATAAAAGGTAAATCAATAATTTTTTATATAAAAAAAAAAAATTTTTAAATTTTATTCATTTAAATATTAATATTTAATTGTTTTATTATTAAATTTTTGAACTATTTTATTTAAAAATTTTGATAGTAAAAAGCTTTCTTTTCTAAATATTACATTTACATGGTATTTAAGTTTGATATGAAACCACAAAAAAAACAAAATTATTTCTTTTTATAAATGTAAACTTTATTACATTATTTATATTACAATAATTATTATTTTTCATTTTTACTTATTTCAATAATTCCCTATTAATAATTAATTATATTTAATTTTTTTTTTTTTTAAATTTTCATTACTTTGTATTTATTTCAGGTTGTGTACTACAAAAATTTTTATTAAAGGCAAAATATATATCATCAATACGATTACAATAAATTTATTCAATTTTTTTACTATTGAAATAAATTGAGGTATTTAATTTAATTAATTTGAAATATTTAAATATATATTACAAATATTTTACATAAAAAAAATTTTTAACAAGAGAATAAGCAAAAAAATTAATTTTGTTGGTAGAATTTTATAAATTACTTTGGAAAGATTTGTTTTTTTTTAAGAAGCAAAAACAAATAAAATCGAAATTATATAAATAAATATGAATTATATTTTTTAGTGAAACAAAAAAAAAAAAAGAAAAAACACCAAATATTATTAATTTTAAAATAAAGTTTTCTTCTAAACATACGATTTTTAAGATAAATAAATAATTTTAAGTAGAAAATACAAGATTCATTACAAATAATTGATTGTATTTAATAAAAAGAATGTTTAAAATGTAAATAAAAATATTTTAACTATTGTTTTTATACGCTGTTACTTATATTTTTGAGTATGTATAATGTTTTCAAAATATTGTATATAATGTTATAAAACAACTATCATATAGTTTATATATTAAGCTATTTAATTTACAATAATAATTTTAAGTATAAGAGGATATTTTATGTATTTATTTTTTTCGTTTATATTGATTTAATTTTTTTTTAGTATATTCTATATATTATGTCTTTAAATATTGACATAATATTTACGATTTATGCATAATCATAAATTAAAAAATTCTTATTAATAAATTGCATCATCACATTAGAATTTTTTTTTTAAATTAAATTTTTTTTTCTTTTCTTATTTAATTTTTTATTACAAAATGTACTTAAAATAATTGCAAAATTTATATTTTCACATTTAATTAACATGTTTTGAAATTGATTATTTCTTTTTTTTTTTTTGTTTTTATAAATTTTTTGTTTTAAACTTACACTTTTCTATCTTTCGTTTGAAAAAATTAAATCAAAATGCAAGAAAAGAAACAAAAGAATAAAAATAAAAATCTAAAATTATCTTTTCAATTTATTTTTTAATTGTTATTTTGTAACATTTTATCTTTTTTTTTCTAGAAGAATAAAACTTTTTTTAAAAAAGGGAAATAGCTATTATGTTTTTGTTATTATTTAGAAAAATAAAAATTATATTAAAACATTTTTAATTTTAATTCATATTCAATGAATTTTAAAAAGTTTGTATTATTTTCCACTTTTATTTTATTCTTTACATAATAAGTTGTACATTTACATAAAACACTTATTGTACAACTTATTATTTTATGTTATTTTCAAATGAAGGAACCAGCAAAAAAATACAACTATTTAATTTATATTTTTTGTATTTTTTTATATTATTTCAACTATACAAAATTTAATATTAATAACTAAAATTTATTCTAATTTAATATTTCCTTATACTAAACAGAGAAAATAATATTTATATTTTATTTAAAAAAATAATTGATAATAAAAAAGAAAAAAAAAATAATTGTTTTTTAAGAAGGCTTGTTGCGTGTACTCTTTCATGGAGGGAAAGATTATATAATATTATTATTTCTATAATCATAATTAATTAATAAGTAATTTGTAATATAATTTATACCATCTTGAGTAATATAATTAATTTTAGTTATGCATTTTTAGAAAATTTCAAAGTTTTACAGGGAAAATAATTTAATTATTTTATCCATAATGGTTTCAATATTTTTTTTTCCGGTTCATACCGTTTACTTTTCAGTTATAATCATTTTTTTAACTATAGTTTTTTGTGTTTTTATGTTTTTTTTTTCTTTTTATCTTTCATAAAAGGGAAATATGGAGGGGTAGAAATTTAATTGGTCCATTTATTAATGGTATTTATTACAAGATGCCATATTTTTTTTTCATTAACTTTTTTTATGTTTTTTTTTTGTTTTTTTTTTAGATTATACATATAAAAGTTATAATTTTTTTTTTATGTTTACTTTTTTTTATATAACACGTGTTTTTTTATTTTTTATTTTTTTTTTGTTTTTATTTTTTACTAATTACATAGATTAACTCGATTCATCTACAACGGATGCATTTTCATCACAACCACCATCAACATCGGTTTTATTAGTATTAGAACAAATTTCATTAGAATTAAAACTAGTGTCTTTTGCTGTTGAGCTTTTTGCATTATTTTCGTTTTCAGTATGATCATTACAATAATTTGAACTCTTTATAGCATTATCAGATACTTCAGTTGCAGACGATTTTGGTCTAGAATACGAAAGTTTTATTTTTTGAATAAAACGAAAAAAAAAAAATAAAACCCGAATCAGGATATAAAAATTTTTACTTACATAAATTCATCACTAACTGGACCATTGGAAGCGCTGTTAATTGTAATATTATTAGTATTATCTAAAACTTCTGCTTGCACTTTTTTAAAGCTATTATTTTCACCATATTTATTTACGAGTACATCATCATATTCATCAGTCTGTATTTTACCATTATCGTTTTCACTTTCAATAACATTATCCATTTCATCACCAATAATATCATTAGTATCATCATTAACAATACTTTCAATAATTTTTTCTGCATTCGTTTTTGTATCATTAAAAAAGTTATCATCATCATCAAATGATGATAGCTTATCATTACAAAATTTTTCAAAATTTGCGTTATTATCAGATTTATCTGCAATCGATTGTTCTTGACTCTGCTGAATTTCATTTAAATTTTTAGAATCTTGTTCTGTACTACTGATACCGTTGCTAATTTTTTCTGCTCCGCCATCATTAAAATGTAAATCAAAATCAGCAAAAAATTGCATAACTTCATCACTTAATTTTAAGCCTTTCACTACATCATCATCTGTAGCATTATCACTATTAGAATTACTTTCATTATTTGTATTATCAACATTTTCAACGTTGTCATTATCACCCATATCTACCAATATTTTAAGCTGTTTTAATGTCTGATTTAAGGTGATTGATAATCCAGGCGTTAGAATATCGGTTACATTCAAATAATCATCTTCAAAATTCGTTTTTTCAACAAATTGCTAAAATAAAAAAATATTTATGGAAAATAATATACGTCAAAAAATAAAACTAAAATTATGTTGTTTAAGTTAAATTAGTTACCTCATATAATACTCCAGCAGATGAAGAACCACCAAATATTTCATCATCTTCTTCTAGAAAAGCTCTGAAACGGGTTTAGGAAAATTTATAAATAAACAATATATTTTAATTTAAACTAAACTTACGGCAAGTTGGATAAAGTAGCGTTAAAGAGTTCTGACGGGAAGGTTTCGTTGTGAAATTCCTTTGCTAAATTTGTGTAAACTTCAGCTGATTCATAAGCATCACAATGTGCTAGCATTCTTTTTTGAGTATTCAAGTCTTTTATCAATTCACCTTCATCTTTGTTTGTTATCATACGCCAATTTTCTAATTCATCCTCACTCAAATTCGATTCAATTAAGGCACCCAATTTATCGGATTCTAATATTGATGTTGTGATTGTATCAAAAATTTTAATAAGATGACCCATATAGCCTAAACGACGACCTTTTGCAGATGACCTAAATATTTAAAAAGAGCAAATAAACATGTATCAATATTTGGAATAAATACTTTTATATATTTCTACTTACTGCATTTCTTTATTTAACATCCAACATTCAATAAGTTTTGATATAACTCTACAGTTAACTATTGCCTGTGAAAAATTTTAATAAAAACTAAATGGTTTATAAATAAAATTTTAACTTATTTACATATGTTTGTAAGGCAGATGGATTTATTTCAGGGTTTTCAACCGTATCACCATTGCTATTTTCATTGTCATTGTTTTCAGTTTGTTGTTGTTGTTCCTGCGGTTGCTTTTGCAACGAATTTGCTTGATTATTTTTCTTAATATTATTATTGTTATTTGAAAAAACAATTTTTAAACATTTTTCAACTTCACTATGTAAAAAATTATTCCAGCAATATTCCTTAAATAATTTGAGCAAAGTATTAAATAGATCAGTTTTACATATTCTAGAAAGAAAAAATATATTTAGCTTTTATTTAAAAATCACAATATTTTACACTTACGCATCAATTAGCCTACTGTTACCGATACGAATTAAAATGGTAAAAAGGCTACATATTTGAAGTCTTGTCAATCCAAAGGGGGGTGGTAATTCAGAATAAATATTTGAAAGATTTCTCTGTAGAGAAATAGAAAAAATTTACATTTCATTTTATACATATACATACCTTAGTACATAATACATGTATTTTGTAAATATACTTTAACTTAATATAATTAGACCTACTTGTGGTGGCTTTGATAAAAGATTATGAAAGTCATTTATTTTTGGTTCAACTACATCAATAATAATATAAATTATTCTGTCATGATTATCTTTTTCTTTATCCATTATTAACTGCAAGGCTAAATCTGATGCTGGTTCCTCACTAAAAATTAATTTCGTAAGTTTGTTTTATATTCCGCTCGAATTTTCTAATGATCAAAATACTTACACAATTGATTCATCAGCCAAGGTTAATAATACTTTAACACCAGCGACCACGGTTGTTTCTTCTGCTTCTGGTAATAACATCACGTCAACCAATTGTGATACCGCAGAATGATCCTCAATTGAAAGAAGTAACAAATTACCATTTACAAAACTTTGTTCAAACGAATCATTATCATAGGTTTGTCTTAATGATCTTCCATATCGTATTAATTCACACAGAAATTCAGATATATTTTTGTGCTTTTCAGACTCTTCTGGCTTCCCTAACATGCTAATCAGTCTTTCAACAAGATTTTGTTCCGTAAGCCACTACAAAATATTTTATATAAATCATATTTTACTGAGTCATAATTAAATGTAATATTTTTACCTCATATAAATCTTTTTTAAGTGCACCTTGAACTTCTCTGATAATTTGAAGCAGTAAATCCATAATAACTGATGTAGCAAAATGTCGAAATATTAAATCAAGAAAGTTACCACGTGATTTTATAAATTCCAATACTTGTAGGCACAATTTTTGATATAAAAACCAATCTGTTTCAGCTTTTTTTGATATTAACATACTAAACGTTTTATTAAAAAATGACGACAGGAGAGGATTTAACGGTGGTTCTTTTTCTAGATATGAATATAATGTTTGCAATATTTCTTCATCCTCTACTAGTTTCTCGTCAAGGGACGGTAAACCACTGTAAAAATAAAATTAGAACACAAAAAATTTTAGAACTATATACATATCTTTAAAATAGAATATAAAAGCTCAAACAATATAATTAAATGTGATATATGTAAATATAGTCTAACAAGATAAGAAGTACCTATTGTAAATATTATAGGAAAATTGTTACTACGTATATAAATATGTACATATAAATATGTATATCAATTTTGATAGCCTACATTATTGTCATTTACAATGATTTACTAAAAATAGAATTTTTCTTACAAAGTCAAAATTTCACATGCCATATTAGCATGTTTAAAGCGTTGTGTTATGGATACATCTTCTGGTGGTTCTGTGATTGTTAATTCAATAAGTCTCTTAATAATATCTGGACGAGTTAAGCTATAAATAAAAAAAAACTATAATACCTACTAAAAACAATTTTTTTTATTTTTGACTTACTACTGGATAAGATTTTTCTTTTGGTTTTTACATTCCTGCAGAATATCTTCATCGTCCAAAAACTCTTCTAATACTACGTTCTATATAAAAAAAAACAAAATATTCCATTAAAAATAATTATTATTTTTTAAAAATTTATATTTTTTACATCTTTTTGTAACAAATTTTCGATATTCTGTGAAGGCGTATATCCCTTATCCCAAAACATTATGCGTATGTGTGAATGTGATTTTACTACCTTATATTGGAATAAAAAAAATAATAAAACTGCAAAGTAATTTGTTCACTATTTTAATTTACTACAAAAATTAATAAAGAATTAAGCTGCTACGTATTGATATTTTATTAAAGTCGATATAAAAAATATTTTTTATTTGAAAAGAGTGGCCATTAGAATTTTCACTATTTTTCACTCAATCTTTAAATGACGTTTAAGTTTTGAATATTTTTGACATCTGTAATTGAGAATGAATTTTATATTTTATTTTTTATTCGTGTTCAATATTATATTCACAATAGCGTTATTCACAATTTATATATTATTTTTATTCATAGAAAAATAATATAAAAATTAAAAGAAATTAGAACAGAGTCCCCTTACTTTTGCGACCCTATACAACATAAAAATATTAAATTTTAATAATTCAGTTGACTTATTATCTAATAAGAAGCTTGATTTGTTAGCGGTATTTTTGACAACTTTTGGTTAAGAGCAAAAATGTTACTATCTTTCAAATAGAAGAAACGGGAAAAGATTTTTGAAATAGAAAGAACAAAAATATGCATATAATTAAAATAAAAATAATTTAATTATTTAAAGACTAACCTCAAAGTTTATCATTTAGTTAGGTCATTTTATTTAGAAAAAAAACTTTCTTAAAAAAATTTTATAAATATTAATAAAATTTAATTAAACACGTATCTTGTAAAAATATGAAAAATGAACTCTAGATTATTTATTTTGATTTTCGTTATGTAAACGAAAAGAATTTACGTAATAAAATAAAATTTTTGACAATTTATGCAATACATGACATTTTTGTGCTGAGGAATGACGCGTGGAAGCCCTTTACTTTAAAATGTCAACAATCAACAACTTTTTTTTTTCATTTTTATTTTGAATTTCAAATTAGCACTTGGCTTGCAAATCAGTGACTGAAATTAGGATCATACTCAAAATTCAAAAAAAATTTAGATAACACACAAATTTTAAGTTTTTGAGGATAAGTAGCACGAATATGGCTGTAAGTTTTTATGGGTTTTATTTTATATAAAAAGCAATAAGTATTAATATTATAGGTACAAAAGGGAAAGCAGGGTACCAAAGGTGCAAAACAAATCATAGAAGAAAATTCTGCAACTATTAAATTTTATAGAAATATGATGGCTGGCAGCGTATTATTGTATGTTTCAATTAACCTTGTGTTTTTTCAATTTACCACATTTTTAGCGGTATGGTATTAAAATCCATTAATATTTGTAATATATAATAATTCATCTAAGTATATTCTTAGGTAATGAGTGTACTTAGTTTCGCAATACTATTTGCAGCTTTTCAATTTATGAATTTCATGTCCCAACCAAAACTCTCGGAAACAGGAACGGTCATAGATAGTGGAACCGATTTAAATATGCAAGGTGGAATAGCTGAGTAAGCTACAATCTCTAAACTAAAAACTAACTGACCAAATTATTTAACGAATCTTTTGTTTTTGTTAGGAACGTGAAAGATTTAATAATTTTAACATGTGGAACACTGGTTCTCACTTTGTTATCAAACTACTTTTGGTTAACTTTATTATTAATTCCAATCAGGGCAGTTTGGATGTTATGGGGTTCTGTAATTAAACCTTGGCTGCAACAGAAAAACGAAGAACCAGAGGTTGACGAAAAGAAACAAAAGAAGATGGAAAGAAAAATGAGAAGAATGAGATGAAATACACACCATCAATATTAGGACTTTTTTATGTTTTCCCTTTTGCTTAACCTTAATTCTCTTATGAAATTTGTTTATTGTGTGTAATTATTTAAATTGATTTGTAAGATTTAGACAAAAAGATTTTTGAGAAATAAAAATTTTTTTTATAATTTTGTTATTTACATACATAAAGTTATAAAACTTATTAATTTATAATCTTTGAAAATCTTTAGATAGTATTTTACTTTAAGCGCACATTCTATTTACGAATATTAAAATAAAATATTAAAGTATTTATTCCTTGTTTAAGATATAGGTGTAAATAATTCAGCAAGATGAGTATAAGCAATTTACCTTAATAAATTATTAATAAATATTTAATTTTTTAAATTAATTAAAAAATTATGGTACATTAATTGTAGAACATATCTCTGTTTAACTACATATTACTTATTTATTTTTAGGTACTTAATTAAATAATATTAAAAATTATTTTATACAATAATATAACAATTTAAACAAATAACATGTTATAAAAAGTGCAAGTAACCGATATATATATATATATATAAATATATATATTTAAATTAAAATTAGTTTATGAATTTGCAGAAACAATCTTTTCGAGCAATATTTATTTCAAAAACGAATTCATATTCTAACAACTTAATTAAAAAATATTTACAAAAAAATTTCTTTTACATAACGTGTTTGGCAGGGTATATTAGTTGGTATTTAATGATTCATAAGCCTTACTGTAAATGTACAGGTATACAGGTATGCATATTCTTAAAAATTTTTAAATTTAATTTAATTCTGTTATTTATATATGTACATTAATTATGCCTTAAAAAATATTTCATTTGTTCATTAAATAAAAATTGAGTAAAAGCATACGTACATATTATTATCATACAGTGGGGCGTATATGATTGTATATAATTGGGCAAATTTGATACCCATATAAAAAGTAAGTACGAATAAAGTGTTTCGTTGCATATAGGTTTTGAAACACTAAAAATTTCCAATTTCTTCAAAAATTTAAAATTTGATTTTTTTTTTTATTTTGTAGCAAAAGTATTTATGCTTTAGCTTCCTATAGCTCTCATATGCATATAAATATGTACATTTATGTATAATAGCTCCTAAAATTTAAATATAATTTAATTTGTGTAAAATAGAATTCAAATTTAATATTAATTTACAAGAGTAACGCCAAAAATATCAAAAGTAAATGATTTTAAAAAACAAGAGTTCCAATTTTTTGTATAAAAAATACAAATTTCTTTTAAACTTGCGATGTGACCTGCTACGTAGTACATTAATGTACAACTTACATACAATTTGGATTACATTAAGGAATGTCGCATACATAATATTATGTTATTGTATTTGTATAGACATACTTTACGTATTCATGCATGAAAATTATAATACATATAATATAATAATAATACTTAACATTATTTTATAGGGCTAATAAGTCTACAAGACAAAAAATTCGTGTCCGTACTTTACAGTACGCTAAAAAAAATAAATAGGTAGATAGGTAAATATATATTATTTAACAAGAATTGAGTAAAAAGAGCACAATGCAAAGAATTTTCTTTAGTAAGATGCTCGCGCTGATACAAATGAAAAACTCATAAAATAAAAAGAAAAATAAGGAAAATTATTAATAAGAAAAAAAATGTTTAAATCAACTATAGGAACATTTTTATTACATAGAACTTATAAACTATACTATGAATGATTATTTTGTAATCTAATTATTTGGCCATAATATGGCTAATTTTTCGCAATAGCGCAGTTAAATCATATGATCTGCTTTAATTTTATAAAATATTTAAAAATTTATTATGTATGGCATATTTATTAATCGTCGCGTTATATTTTTTCACTATTGCTTTTCGCATTTATCATTCTGCAGTATTGCGTTTATGAAAATCGCTAAACTATAATTATATAACACAGGAACAATATTACATTTCTTTTCCATAGGAATATAAAAATCAAATATCTGAATTAATTTATTCTAATAAAATATTTAATAATATTTTATCTTTTAATATATACTAATGGGAATTAATTTAAAATAATCTAAAATTAAGCTTTGAATTTTATTTTTAATTACTTTTGAATATGACTTTTTTTATATTTTTTTAGACTAAGTAATAATATTTAAAATTTATTTTTATTACTTATAAAATTAATGTTTTAATATTTAATTATTAATTATATTTCATTACATTGTTTAATATTAAATTATACGAAATTACGATTTTATTAATATTTATTGCGTATATTACAAACGAATTATTCAATATTGAATAATGTGTAAGAAGAAAAATTTATTTAAAGAAAAGTAAAAGATATTATTTTATTATATTGGATATACTTTTGGGTTATAAAAATTTTCAAGGAAAATTTTGCTATTTCAAAAAATAATTATATTCAGTCGGAGATTATACGGGCTCCAGGTATAACATCTTGATGAGGAATTGTGAATTCGTTTAATTTACAAAACAAAAAAAAAAGTAAAGTCCTATGATTTTTTCTTTTTTTTTTTTTTTAATTTTATTTTATTAATAAATTTAAAAAAAGAAAGTAGTCTAATATTAAGAGAAATCTGGGACTCGGGAATATAATTTTAAGTTAAATATTTAATAAAATTTACATATAATAACAATATTCATGAATGTGCAGAGTTAATTGTATGATAAAGCGAAATATTATAGAAATTAAAAGATAAAAAAAATAGAGGAAAATTATAACAATTTTTCTTTTTCTATTTTACTAAATTCGTGAATTATATTATTTTAAATTAATTTATTTGAAATTTTATTTAAAAGAAAAAATATGATTAAATAGTTGTGTATTAATAAAATAAAAAATTAAATAAAAGAAATAAATAAATAATTTAATGCAGAAATTTTTAAATGTTTATTATATGCACATTTACACGTACATACATATATATATATAGAATATACATAAGTACATAAAAAAAAATATTGAAAAGTGTATTGAAATTGTTTATGAATAAAAATTTAATTATAGAATTATTTATATACAAAAATAATTATGATGGAGCCGACTACTAATGGTGTAGATCAAAAATCACCTTCAGGTAAACTAAATAAAAATAAAAAAAAAATGTGTATGTATAAATTTTTGTTTTTCCATTTTAAAAATGCATTCCTATTACGCAATACCCAGCGTGTGCAAATTCTCAAAAACGATTTATAATTTTAAAAATATATTATAAAATGAATAATTTTTAAAAAAATTATTATTTAAAATTTATTACTTATATGTGTGCTATTTAAAAAATGTTATAGGGTACTCAAATATGTATATAGTAAAATTAAGAAAAATTTTATTCATATAGCGGTTTGCAAACGATCGGAATAAATATAAAACATTTAATTTTAAATATGGGGAAAGAAATTAATTATTAATTTAATATTATAGGTATTATACTTAAGTTTAAAATATAGGAGCACTATTGAGTTACTCAATTCGTAGTAAGTATGTCAAATTTTAAGAATGACAATATTAAAAAAAATTTGAAATGGGATAATCATATTAAAAAAAATTAAAGAAAACCCTTATATCTATTAAGGTTATAAAAAGATCTGACGGTATATTCCTGAACACGCAACACAACTTGTATATAATGGCTTTATTTTATGAATAATCAGGTATAACATAATATGTAGTTGGAGTAACTGTTCAAAATTTCATGTAAAGCACTACTAATTTAAAACTGATATAATTTGTTATATATATATACACATATATGTATATTTAAATCTTGTTTTAACTTTTATAGTTTTAAATATTTTTTTCGACCTATTCTTGAAAATATCCAAATTTTGACTTTTCTTGATATTTGAATTAAAGTTATTAAATAGCGTTAGGTACTTCTATATATATTTTTTCTACATATTTCTACTAAAATAATTATGAATAGTTTTTTTGTTTTTAGGGCACCAGTTTTGATTTAAAATTATTTCGTTTACAATATTATATGTGTATTTGCATTTCTCAAAATATATTCATTGATTTATATTAAATGTGTTAACACTAACATGTACTTACTTCTTCAGTACTGGCTCTGGTACTATAGTTCTAGTGCGCTTTCAATTAATAAACAAAATGATTGCTCTAATTTTTTTTGTGAATATTTAAAAAATATTAATTTATAATTATTTAATTATCCATGATTTTAAAACTTCAATGATATTGCATTAGTTCACAATTCAGCAAACATAATTCATATGCTGAACTGCTTACGAATACCGAATACCGTATTACTGTAATTTTATATATTATATTATACACAAACCACATGCGACGAATATAATTTAAAAAAAAGTATACGCTTACATCGTGTACTTGTGTGTACTATTAAAATTTTATTGAATATATTTTTATAAAAGTTTATAAAAATTTTTTAAATATAGTGAAAATATTTAAAATATTAGATGTATTTTTTTTTTGATATTTCTGAAAGATAAGTTAATATAATAAAATATAATATTATATTAAAATATATTTTCAAGAAAAAAAAAATTTATATTTTATTTATATTCTTAATAACGTATTAAATAGGCGCGTCATAAATATCGCCCCGACCAATAAAATGAACATAAATAAAAGATTTTTTTTTTTTGTATTTTTCAAATATTTTTGCTTTGTTATACTTATATATAAATTATTATGTATATAGAATGTATACGAAAGTATTTCTAAGATATATTTACTTAAAATTGAAAATAATCTTATACCATCAGCTTTTTGCTTGATATTTCGTATATTGTTATACACTTGTACATACAAAACACAAATAAATATACTGTGCTGATATTTTGAGAGCACAAAAATCAATGTTCAATATTATTTGAATTAAATAAATGGGGTAATTTGAGTTGATAGCTGGTGGTTTTATATAACAGATTGTTATATAATGAAAACACTTTTTTTAATTGTTACATTTTAAGTAATAGAAAGGTATCAGGGCAAAAGTTCATGTGCTTACTTTAAATTAGTTTTTTGAAAAAATTTCAAGTTGACAAGTAAAGTTGATTTGAAGTGATTATATTTGTAAAGTAAGTGTTCTCACAGCGTCGGTCTCGTTAAAGAACTACTCATATTTGACAATAAAAGGTAACTCGAATATAAAAAGCCATAAAATTGAGTTAATTCTTAAAAAATTATAAAAGAAACTCCTTAATATTTAATTGTCAATAATTATTAAATTAAATAATTGTTAAATATGAAATTTGAAAAAAATTATTTAAAATGTTAGATTTGTGCGTATGTTGTGTAGGTATTTATGTAGTTTAGTTATTTTGGTTAGTTGTGTATATTCTACTGGCATAAGATTTATATTATGTGAAAATATATACATAAGTATGTTTGCATGTATGTATAAATTTCCTGTAGATTTCCTGTAAATTGTTTTTAATAATTTAATATAAAAAGGCCTGTTCAATCTTTTTGTACTAAAAATGAACTTTTTTTGCACTCCACCAACCTTATAAAAATTTATTTTATTTTAAAGTTAAAAAAATATCTTCAAAAACAAAAACAAGAAAAAAACTTAATAAACAATTTCAAATAAATAAATTAACAAAAAATTACTAAATTAGCAAATATAAAATGAATATGTTTTTCGGCATTGCTGGAAAAAGAACTAATTCAAACGACTTATTTCATATATAAAAATTGAAATAACAGTAAATAGAAATTGAAGTTTGACAAGGTGACGATTGCACGTAATAGTGTTCACCATAGCTCTAACTGAGTCGACTTCTAAGAAGTAATTTTTTAATATTTTTGTTTGTTTTTTGTTGTTCTCGGCTGTGTTTTTTTAGTAAAAGAGTTTCTTACGCGTAAAATACTTTTTTATTCTGCTCAAATAAACACATTTTTTTAATATTTATTTTTTTTTTTATAAATGAATTTAATTAATTTTATTTTATTTTAAAAATATTTATATGCTTTATTTACAAACGCTCTCAAAACAAATACCTTGATATCAGTATTGCGGTATCACCGCATTAATTACTATTAAATTGTTTATATGCAGCGCTATATACACAATTTAATAGTAATTAGTACTCAAATTACCCTGCGTCAAATGTCTGTATATTATTTTGGTATTTTGACACCATTACTTGACAGTTTTCAATATGAACTTTTAAAATGAAAAAGTTATTATAAATTAATAATGAAAATTCAATTTAATTTTAAATTTTTTTTTCAAAATGTATTAAGTTTATATCCCTATTATTATTATGGAGTTTCTTAAATTTAATATACTACCCCATGAATGAATTTACACTTATGAAATTACATGCGTATATTTAAAGTATTTCTGAAAATTTTATTTAAACTTATGTACGTACCTATATGCATTTTAAAATTTTATGCCAACTTAAAAATTCCAAATCGGATAAAAAAACAACCATAATTAATTTACAAAAATAAAACTTGTTTTTTTTTTGTTTTGTTTTTTAGATTTTTACATACCTACATATTACTAAAGTACTATATTAGAGAAAAAGTGAAAGAATTTTGGTTTTTGTTTTTTGTTCTTGGATAAAATTATATTTACAAAAATAACTTAAAAATGTTTTATAAAAATAGGAACCCTAGACGCGTGCTCAATTTAATAATAACTTCATACGTACATTTTTCCGCATTTAGTTTCATAATAGCAGCTTTTTATGTATGTATACAATGAATTATATTTGAAAGTTGTTATATATTTATTACTCCATTTATAATATTGAAGTAAATATCAATGTGGAGGAGAGTATCCACATTATTCTTTTATTATATTAAATTTTGTTTGCATGTAATTGAATAGTGAATGAGACTCAACGAAGTTTTGTTTCTTTATATTATAAAAGATTTTCATAAACGCAATTTTCAAAACCTATTTCAAAAAACTAGCCGTACTCATGATCAAATTACGCTAGCAACATTTGTTTATAAATATAAACATAGCGCAGTTTTTGCTATATATCATAATATACTGCATTCATGAAAAGGCAAAAATTATTACAAATTTCATTTTTGTTCACTAAATTTCATATTAATTCTTACATACTTATTGTTCATACTGTATAGTTGCCTTCAACTTGACTGAAATAAATTTATATCAACATTATAAATGTCTAGTGTGACAATTTATTTGAGTTTTTCAACATGATGTTTTTGTCTGACAATATTTTGTATAAAAACTGTAATAAAAAAACACATTCAAATAATTTAAAAAAGTTTTCTTCTTGCATTTTTTTAAAATAATAAGTACTTTAATATTTTGAAATATAAAGTCATTTTAATTTATTTGTACCGAATTTATAGTAATAAATATTAAATTTTAACCATTAAGAAATAAATAAATATAATTTCAACATACTTTTTGTTGTTATAAATTTAGTTTTAGAATATTCTACACAATTTTAACACAGAATTTCAACATACATAAATCTGTGTTGAAATTTTAGTGTGGTATCGGCTAGACTAATCATTTATTAGTAGGTGAAAGAGTTAAATACGAATCAAATTTATTTTATTTTAAAATTTAAAAAAAAAATCGCATATTCAAATAATTTTTAATTGCATGTTGATTAATTATTACGTTCGTAAAGAAAACCAAAATTTCGGAATTTCTATAATTTTATAAAAAAATTTTAAAAAGGTCTAAAAATCACTGATATTTCAAACCAAATCTAATTTAATTTATGACAAGATAATGACACAATTTAATGAAAATATAATTACCAAACTTGGCGAATGATTATTTTAGCATAATGTAAACCTGAATTTTAGCATAAATTTTTAAAGAGATATTGACATATCGGCTAAAAAAAAATTTCCGCTGGCTTTAAAATTGTGGTAATCAGGCAGTAGAAATACATTAATTAATGAAATTTCAAAATCCGAGACTCATTTACACATATTTCTATACACATATATATTTATTTTAATTAAATTTAATCAAAAATCATACTATCTAACAAATATTATTAAATTACAAACAAATAAATAATTTATGAACTTTTACATTCAAAGTTAATTAATGTTATTACCAACATTTCGTTGTTATATGGAAATATACATACATATAATGTACTCGTATATTATGTACAATTTTGTTTTTCTTTTTGATTTTTTTCCAAAAATAAATATTTTTAAAAATATTAATTTAATAAAGTTTCGTTTTTTTTGGCTTACTTGTTTTTGTATATATGTTTTTGTTTTTGTATTGTTCATTTAAAAATCTTCACTCTAAAAATATAAAATTGTTATTTTACCATTTTCTATTTTAGAATTTTTCTCGTACATGTACATATATTATAAATGTATATATGAACTGCTAAATTTGTATATAATTTTATAGTATATATTAATTTCTTATATATATATGTATATCTTATAATATTTAGGTAAATATACAAATATTCGTCGAATTTGGCTCATGTTTTTTTTATTACTTTCTATGAAAAAATTACCCAACAAAAAAAAAATGTATTAATAAAATAGAAAAAAGAAAACTCTATTTTGTCTACCTCAATTTTGACTTTTAATTTTAACCCCTTGAAAACTTATGGTTGACTAATATAGTTGACTTAATTATAATCATGGTTTTTATTAGTAAAAATGTACTAATTAAATAAAGCTCATCAAATAATCTACTTCATTCAGTAATTAAAAATTAATTTACTGAATAATTTGCATTTTAGTACAGACTCTTAAAAAAACTTTTGAAATAAAGATGAAGTAAAATATTTGATATCGAAATTACAATGACAATTTGTTGTTGACAAACACCAGGGATAACAGTGTTCAGTGAGAAAGATCAATCGTTTCATTGGTTGACGCAAGCGTCTATTCTTTCTCATTTATCTATGCTGTAATTTACTTGCATCCACATCAAATTTACCTTGTTATACCAGGGCGTAAAGTGTATCAGCGCATTTCTTTAGCAATTTGGATCCTACTACATCACAAACAAGGTCCCCATAAGAACAGCTTTACTGTCCGAATTAATGACAACTCTTTTTGATACATTCCAGAGCACACAATCAATTGTGTTAATTTAAAACAAAAAATTTATGGTTTATATATATATATATTTCTATATAATATTAAGTTATGCATGTCAATAAATATATAAATAAGATTAAAATAATAAAGACAATTGTTTTGAATTGGAAATGAGCAAGATTTTCTACTCTGTCTAACAACAAATTCTGGATATAAAAAAAAAATTCAATTTTATGTTTTTTTTTTCTTTTTCTATAGAAACAAAATTTAAAATAGATTAAAATCCAAATTATTTAAGTAGGTATATTATAAAAACAAATATTTTTTTTTTTACTGCGGTAAAATTTGTACATATATTGTCTATTGTAGGGTAACTATATTTAAACAAGTGTATATCATATGTAGTTCTATTTTATTATATATATTGACATATTTTTAAAACATTTTTTGTATATTCATTTTTGTGTGGAATTTTGTTCACAATTTCATAGGTATTTTATTTATTTTGTATTTTTTTAAGAAAACAAATTTATATTCTTGTATTTTATTACAAAATGAAAGAAATGCAAAAAAAAAAAATTTGTGTTTTGCAAATTAGATTTTGATCATAAAAATTTCCGAGACAATATATACAATTAAAATGAAAATTATATTAGTTAAATGGCCTGTGTAATTATAAAATAATATAATAATTAATTAATAATGACATATACAACATACTTACTTATATTTTATAGTGAAACTATTCAAATATTTATACAAAATTTTTAATTATTATGACCTTCTTTTTTTGTTTTCGTTTTATAAAGTACAATGTTTATTTTTAATGTGTCCTTTTTCACGGTTTACTACCCTAATTTTTTTTTTTCATTATATTATTGAAATTGTAAAAGAAAATTTAAAAAATTTTTAAAAAATAATAATAAAATTTAAATTATTTTAAAAATTAAATTATTTTTTTAACATAACATAACAATATACCTGTACTGTTATGCCAGAGGAACGAGCATTATACAATAAAATTTACCGGTAGCAAATTTTTTTTACTTTTTCAAAAACTATTGCATACTTTCAGGGGTACGTGACTTTAATAATATAAAATTCAAATGTTAATAAAATTAAAATCATTAAAATAATAAAAGTGAAAATTAAAAACAGAAAAGAAAATTATATTTTTAAAATAAATTTTTTGGCAAAATAGTTTTTGTTTTTTTTTTTTCATACTTGTTAACTATTAAAAATCAACTATTTTATGAGCGGTAATAAACAAACAAGTGCAATTATTTAGGTAAATAATTGGTTTAATTATTAAAATGACGACAAATTTTTTAGTTTATTTAATTATTATTTAGTCTTTGTTATTTTTATCATAACAATAAAAGATAAATTTGTCGATTTTAAATTTTATATATGTGGGTAGAACACTTTTATTTATTAATCTTATTACAATTTGGTTTGTATGTTGTACTCGTACATTATAATTAGATAGTGATGTGCTCAAATAATATTGCCCCAATTTTTATATATACAATATATTTGAAATAAAAAATTAAAATAATTTTAATTTTCGTCATTTGTTTTTTAATTTAAATAATCAAATTGTAATTTTAAATAAAATTTGTATAGAATATAAAATAGATTTTTAGAAAATTTAAATTTTGTGTTAAAACTACAAAAACTATAATAACATTTCTAACCGGAATTTTTTAATGTACAATAAATAAGATATGTATTTAAAAAATGTAAAATATTTACACAATTTATAAATATACATATATAATTTGATTACTTTATAAACGCCATTTAATTTAATTTTAAAGTGTTAATATATTTTTATATTAACAACAATATTGCACTCATTTTGAATTTTATAATTGCTTTTTTATTAAATAACAATTTAGAGGCGTTAAATAGTATGACTTTGGTGTCTGATTGACACATCTTAAACTTCAAATTGTAACCACTTAACGAATATCCGATAATTTGGAAACCATAATTGTCTATGTTACAGTCCGGTAAACACATGTTTCCATCGACCAATTTCTCCATTGCAATAGATTAATTTTTGAAAAATACAATTGTAATAAAAAAAAAAATAAATTGTTTAGAATAAAGCAAAATTAAGGAACTAGAATGCCAAGGGTCTTATGTGTGAGGAATGATTTCAAACCTTTATGCAAAAAAATACTTCTTGTAATTAGTTTTCAAAATTTTTCAGAATTTCATTGTGCATTAAATTGAATTACTGTTGATTGTCGATCCGTATAATAAAATTTATTTGATGCATATGACATTTGTAAGGACAAAAATCAAAAATAAACTGTTTAACTTCTTATATGGTGTTTTAGAATTCCATTCGAAATATAATAAACACTATAATTATAATTTATTCAATTTGATTATAACGTCACTTATGACAGGCTAATTTGGGTATTTGGTAATAACACTGAATTCACTCGCCATACATTTAAAACAGAGCTGCTTCATTTATTATTTTTGAAACAATTAATGAACTCAGCAATTCATTGTTTTGATCCACGGAGTCTTAAAGTTTTTATTTTGATTTGGTTCATCAAAGTTCAAATTTTGAAATAATTTAAAAGTTTTTCTCACTCATACAATTATTGAAAATATCAAAGTTTGATTTTAATTGTCATCTCCACCTGTATGTCAATATTATCACTTAAATTTTGTATAGCACCTCTTTGTATAAACCTTAATAATTAAGTGTTACAACAACTATAGCTATAATTTGTAAATTTTTAATTAAATTTTAAAAATTTATTTTTAATTAATTATATTTTTTTCTTATTTATTTTTATTAATTTATTTCAGATGTGGTCGCTGAATTAAATAAAATTTCAATAATTGAATCGATAAAAAATGCGGCGGCGATCACTACGAATGGTGATGCACAATCATCAACAACATCATCATCAGTATCAAAAGCGCCATTTTTAAAAAACACTGAACTTTTAGGAATTTCTTTTAATGAAAATTCAAGTTCATTGATTAGATGTGCGCCAAATGAACGTGCAACATTTTTTATAAAAATTGATTGCCCTGATGATCATGAAGCTATTCCATTTACATTTGAATGGTATGTATATATTATGTATATAAATATATATTGTAGACATTAAAAAAATTAGAAAAAAAAAATTAAATTATTTGAAATTAATTTGTTCTGTTTATTTTTGATTTAAAATATATTACATTATATTTTGGTATAAATACAAAGTATATATATAGGAATGTAAATAAATTCTTGTACATATGGGTATATTTATGTAGAGTTTATTAAAAATGTGTTAAGATTTGATATGAGAGTTTAAGACTTAAAATTATTGAAGAGCTCAAAATTTCAAATAAAACAAACTATTTTACTTAATGAAGGCTATTTGACCTATTCAACTACATTTCTAATTCTAAATTAATTCAGTAAATTTTAAAATTACAGTAGATCCAGAAAGCTCTTTCTTTTGTAGACAAAGTGTCTATGAATATCCTTCATTATTAATGTACACACATATACGTATTGTATTTTATACAAAATTTAATTAAAAATCATAAATATTTCAAGAACATATCGTTTGTTTACTGCAACACTAACATAACTCAAAATTTGCTTAATTGAAAAAATCGAATTTCAAAATTTTGAAGTTAACATGTTATTTTTCTTAGGGTTCAGTCAGACATGTAATTTTTAGTTTTGCAATTATTGCTTAGTTATAAAATCGATACGCGCATCTGTAAAAAACTAAATCGAATGCGTCAAATCAAATCGATACCGTTAACCAGTCAGTTTTTAATAAATTGTAATCAGCTTGTGAAAAAATACAAACTGTTTGATTGCTTAATTGCATGCGATCAGACAGTTGCATGTGTGCTCGCTTGAATACACACGTATCGAATACAAAACATCAATCAAACATTCGCATTCGTATGCAATTTTCAATTTTACCCAAAACGAATGTTTTAAGCCCTCATGTATAAATAACTTGGAAATCGTATATCTTTTGAGTTATGTCACTGTTGCAACAAATGAGTGATATGTTTTTATTAACACAATATAGGCATATAATGCTTTTTATTTCAAATTCAAATTAATTTAAAATTTAGAAAAAAAAAATATGTTAATGTCTATTTACCCGAATGTCTATCATTGTTGAGTACTTGGTGTTGGGACACAATCATTCAGCTGCTGCCTTTCAATCTCACTTATGCCTTTGATTTATGATTTTATGAATTTTTATAGTTCAATTTTTAAAATTTTTAATAAGATCAAGTCAAAATGTGTATATTATATTCTTTTGTATCTATTTAAGATACGTTCTTGTTTACGATTTCTAAAATATAAGTATTGTTATAGATATTTTTATCCTCCAAATATTGAGATCATTATATTACACGAAAATCAATGGTGCCGAATATTTTAGTTAAAAAATCGTATAATTGAAGTTTGATTTAATTGAATTGAGTGTAAAACGAGCAAGTGTAGTGCATTCGTAGTTGTAGCGCGTAAGTGTAGTACAAATGTACCAGTGTATTTCCTTAATTGTGCTGCATGCATTTGAAATTCTGGTGTTGAAATAACTTAAGAAAAAATTAATGATTTATTCTCTTGCAATTAGTTCTATTAATTGTCAAATCAAGAATGGTCACATTGATGAACACTTTATTTTATTATAGTGCTGCCGAGTTAAAAAAATTGATAACTGGAATTAAGTTATATTTTCAGATTTTTTTATAAAGTTCTTGAAATAAGCGCACTTAAATAACGGGGGAAAAAAAGAATGATCTCTATGTAATAATTTACAGCTCCTAACAGTCTAATATTTATACCACTATAACTACATTTCTCCAAAAAAAATTTTAATTAATTCTAAGTAATTTAAGACTTGCCGTAGTTTTCTTGAAAATTTTGTTTATTTACAAAATACTTTGGAAAAAAATTTTAATGTTCAATTTAAGAACTTTTTCAATTGAAAATGAAAAGTGAAATTATTCTTAATTCAATGATATGAAAAACTGAAGTGAACTTATTGACAAGTCATCATTATACTATAAGCAAAAGTATATGTGTGTAAAGGTACATACATATATGTATGTATTTGAAATCTGTATACAAATTGATTATATAAGAAATTGAAAAATTTTAAATAAAATATAAATAAAGTTTACTTTTATTGTTATTTTTTTTTTGAATTTCCATTTTGTAATTCCCGGAAATTCATATACAATTTTTTGTTTCTATATTTCTTTCTGTGCTAGAATATATATATATATATATATATGTACATTCAATCTTCAAAGAATTTTTTAAATATACTCGTTCTATATATCATTGTTAAAATGAGGTTTTTTTTTTGTATATCTAAAATGAAATTGTTTAAAAATTTTTTTCATTATTTCTAGGTTATTTAAATTAATCTATAAATTAAATAAGTTATGTATGCTAAATTTTTTTGCTCATATTGAAAGTACTCAATTTATATTATATTCGCGTCGAATATACGAAAAAATTCTGATATTCCTTCCTTGTAAAGATAACATGATTGGAGAATATAAATTAAGTTATTGGTGGTGTCTCAGAATATTATTTGCAAAGAATTTGTAAAGGTCATGAATTTCAATACTTTTTGAAACTAGCTTCATGAATTTAGTTCTTTGTGGTTAACGCAAGTGATTATCATGTTTTGATTATTTTTGCAATTGCTCTTGTAGTACTGCTGTAGCTCATAGGCTTTGTGGTAGCGGTAAAATGCTACAGGAATAAATTTATGCAACTACTTGGCTAAATTCCTTTTTTGGATAGACTGGTACGTTCTTATACGAATAATATTGAAATCTATTAACGTAAAATTTCGATATTTGCGTTGAAAATTTCGATATTTGCAAATTAAAATTTTTGAAACTTTTGGAACCATTTTGAAGCGAAGTGTAATCATAATAATTAAATTCTTTACATAATTTTACATTTTTTTTTAGAAATTAATGTTATAAAATATTTTACATTCATTTTAAGCAATTATTATTAGAAATATATACAAATTGTATTTATTCACATTTTCTTTAACAAAAAAAAAAACAAATTCGATTTTCAAAATTTAAAAAACAAAATTTGGAGACAAAATATATAATTGTTTACATGTATGCATGTACATATATTTTTTGTATACATATGCATATATATCTGTAATGCCTGTCATTATTCTATAGGAGCATTATATATGTATGTAAGTATGTATTATAAAATGGGTGATTTTATTATTGTTAAATTATTCTCATTTTAATTTTGACATTTAATGCGTGATTTATTACATTTATTACACAGTGATTTATTACGTCAAATGTACGCTATATTTTATTGAATTAATGCGTGAACAAATAATTTAACATTCTACATCTGCCAATTTGCAGCTGACATTATGCAATACAGAAATCTTCGTACGAACAAATAATTTTTGAGCACTTATCGATTTAAACTGTTAAGCTATCACTGAGCAATTAACTTGACGTTTTGGATTTATCAATTTGTAGCTAATATTATGCAATTTGACCGTTTCAGATTATTTTCTAGTTTAAATATTGTGCTTTTGCGGTGTTGGCATCAACAAACAGAATAACACTCATTTGGATGCCGGGACACAACAGAAATGGGGACAGCGTTCCCTTTCGTTGGGCCATCTCCTTATGTGGAATGTTAATGTCTGTCATTAAGAACATACTTGGCGCCCTGTTTGAGGGGGAATCGAATCTTAGCTCGGAGGCTATTGAGAGGTGTTATTATTCGAAGTTGTTCTCTCCATTCTGCTTAAAAAAGTTGTCCTTAGCGCTAGTTGAAATGGGCCGAAATTGGGATCGTGCTTTTTCTGCGCAAACTGGGCAAATAGGAATTTCTTTTGTGTAAATTCTGCCTGGACGACAAGGAAACGGCCCTACATATTATATGTGACTGTGACAGTCAGAAGGTGCAGATGATTTGGGCGGAGCTTTCTCAGTTTTGAGAAGCTCAAATTTAGCTCCCTTGGGTACATTTCCGAAGATTTAATTGAAACTGGAGTAGTTTACGTGTTATATGGGACGGCTACAATAAGTCATGATTGGTTGCGATGGTCGGAGGGTACAAGTTCCTTTGTTCATATCTATCTCTTAGTTTCGATATTTGAAAACTATCGATAATATCGATCGTGCAATTAACAGCTCCTCAACTCTATTTGTGGTATTTTACTTGAAAATATTGTGAGAAATGTTTTATATGTCTTAATTTAAATGTACAAATCGAAATCTTCACAAAAAAATCACCCATTTTATTTGTATATTGCAAAAAAAGAATATTCTGAAGAATTTTTTTTTAAATAAATTTATTAGAAATATGGCATTATACAACGTGATGGTTAAAATAAATATCATGCAAGCGTGTCAATATCTCATACTTTTAATGAATTTTCCTCTTGGTTTTTCTTGTTTTTCTTTTCGGTTCTTTTACTTTCTATCTAAATATATAAAATATATTTTTTTTTACTTTATTTTCTTTTCCATTATGATGAATTTTAAAATTGCGTAACATGTTTATTTTGATGGCGGCTATATAAATTGAATATTTCGTTTTTTTTTATTTTAAAATTTAAAAAAAAAATTATATTACAAACAAAATCTATCTATGTAAAAATGAAACTTTAAAATAAAAGAATTGGGAAACTAAATTTCAGATAAGGCATTGCCCCTTTGCATGAAATACTTGTGATGAAGTCATACCGAAAACATTATTAACATTTAATATGCATTCCCAAAAAATTTATTAGATACAACTGGAACACATAATTATTTTTAGAACTAACATATAAAATTATACATATATCAACATTAATGTATATGTAGATTCATATATATAAATAAAATATATTGTATATGCAGGGATAAGCGATTGTTCTTATAATTAAACGAAAAATTAGAGCTTTAAAAATATTAAAAAAAACAAAAGAAAAATAATGAAAGTCCCACATTTTATATAGGATTGGAAAAATTAACATTTTAATACTCAAAATAATTATAACAAGGAAATAAAAAGAAAAATCTTAAAAGAGTAACAGTAGA